GATGTGCATATAAGTTATGTGAAAATTATGAAGGCAATCAATTATATTCAACAACCAGGCGTTCAGTTTATCGCCACTAACGAGGATGCCACCTTCCCTGGTCCAAATCCAAGTACTCATCGATTTATTTGTTCATTTCATTTATTTCTTAACACCTTACATTAAATTGATCATCCATTCAAATAGCTTAATAGAATTCTCAACTATGAACTTTGAGTGTGCGTGTTTCCGTACTTTTTTTTGAGGTAACGATTACTTATTGCTCGGTAAAGCATTCGTTAAACACCAATATCGTATTGATTTCAGATGTTCGTATCCCAGGTGCTGGAACGAATGTGATGGCCGTAAAATTTGCGGCCGGAAAGGCACCACTCGTAATCGGAAAGCCAGCTCGACCGATTTTCGACTATATTCGTGAGAAGTATGGAGTGAATCCAGCGAAGACGTTAATGATTGGTGATCGGTGCGATACAGATATCAAGTTTGGTCGTGATCACGGAATGTGTACAATGCTTGTGGGCACAGGTATCAGTTCAATGGATGATGTAAGGCAGTATGAAAAACAAAAACAATTTGATTTAGTTCCAGACTATTTTAGTGATTCGTTCGCAGATCTTTTAGATGATTGCTAATCTATAGTGCTATTGTTAATTTGATTGCTATATCATTCATATCTTTTTTATGTTGTATTGCATTGTTCGTTGCTGTTTCAATGTAGGAGTTAAGGTTGAGAATGTTGTTCAATATAGTTTTTGTTGAAAGATAAGCTTCTGGTTGTAATTTATTCGAAGGTATGCTTTCTGATTCGATAAAAAATCAATTGAGTGCTGCTACTTTAAGTGATGATGCCACTTTAAATCGCCTAAGAATTTCTATTTTGAACCACCCCACCAGATTTAGAAATCTCTTGATTGTACCCTTAATAAATCCTGAATCTCCGTTTTCATCCCAAAACTGCTATTTTCGGGCCTTTTTTAGATCCGGTCGACGGTTGCTTTGGACCTATCATAATTGTCCCAGCTAATTGATGTACATTTCGCACTTAAGCCTCTTCAGGATCACTCCAGTTATCAAAATTATCATAGTTGACCGCTCTGCTCATCCATGTTTGACCGTGATCTTGCATGTATGTGCTCCCTGTTCGATTTTTGGCCATCTGTAACCCCTTTTTCTAATTCTAGGCTGACAATTCGTACACTTTCTGCCCAGTTGTTGTCGTTCGTCACCTTCGATTTCCTTATCCATTAGATTTTTCTCTTATGTAGTAAATTTGAAAAACTTTTGTCATCGCATATTTATTTTCTTTTTCCATAATTTTACCCCAACACCACCGTTTCAATCGTAATTTGCATTCTCTTTGTCACCGTCTATGTTTTTGACCCGTGTAACATTACTGGTAGCACACATTCTTCGTATAAACGTCATTTCCAACCTTCTTATTAAACAGAAATTCTTTGTATTTACGTAACGATTGACAACTGAGAATTTGAATGTTCATAAGTGTGGCAAATACGTGATTATTCGACCTGTTGATCAATAATTAGTCATTCTCATTAATTGTTGTTATTTTAGGTGCTGATTTGGTGATATTTAGTGAGTTGAATGTGAACTTAGTATTTGTAAATATAATTGTTCGTTCATTCGTGATCGTTACAATGATTTGTCACGATAAATAATCTCATATTGATAAATAATCTCATGTTGAATATTCATCACGATCTCATGCAAATAAATCTATATAAAAAGAATCATTATTTAAAGCATATTGGATCTCATCGCTCTACATTAATCCGTTATTTACACATTCGTCCATTTTTTTCCATTTGTTCGCGTATACTCCAATGATTCAGTCGTTTGGTCTGTGTGTAATGATAACTACAGTTATTATAATATTAGATAACACGATAATAATTATAATTTTTCGAATCAGTAATTTTTTTCAATCCTCGAACTGAGAATAAACTGTTACCAACTTACGAAGTGAGCTTCGAATTTTCATCACTCACATGAATAGGTCTTTTTTGTGTCGAAACATGGTTTCGTTTAAATGCCAGCAACAATAATATTATAGTACTAGTAACAGTTGAAGTTTCAAGTGAAGAACTGATCATATTCGTATGTGATGCGCCTGCTGCCTACTGGTGTATTGTGCAGTTCAGTGTTAGCTGCTTGCTTTTTAAATGAATGGATAGAGCGGACGTATGGATTGTATGTGGAAATAAAGACAGAGAATTGTTTGTTGTTATTCGGCGAGAATGGCTTCGGCCGTCTGTATAGTAATAGATTGAGATGTGAAGTAATGAACGGATTGGATGGTTGGGCGAATGAATGAAGGATATATATCCCATCCAGTATTTATGTGATGCTTGTCGATATTCATTTCGACGGATGAGATCGATGCAAATCATCTACTACTGTTACTCTTTTGCTATAATATACCCTATTTTTTCGAATAGGCATTTTGCGACGGGAATGTGCAAAATTTCCAAAAGAACGAAGTTATTTGAAGCGGGAGATGGGAGTTGTCGAAGAGAGAATTACGGTGTTGTGAAACACAATGATGACCACAGTCTTATTTTGCGTTCAACTTGCTTGATTGATTTTATGCGTTAGCTATTATTCGATGATCACGTATCTTATCTTTTAACGATATTCTTTTGCTGTATTCATCATTCGTATTGCACTCAAATCTGGAGTTCATTTCTAGCGATCGGCCGTTTCAAAAATTTTTTAAACAATTTCAGCGCTCTTTTCTCGCCTTCATCAAATGCTGTTGTACAATAATATAAAGTCATAATAATTAAACGTCTAAATAGGTTTCGATTTGAATGGTTGTTTCGGAAAGATTGCTATCTTAGGTATCAGCTATTCACACAGTGCTATCAAATTACGTAAAGTAAATAAATACTTGAAGTGTTGTTATGTAAGGTGACGTTCGAGCATGTTCAACGAGCAGCACAGAACTCATCGCAATGATAGGAACACTCTGAATCGATCTCATCGCCAACTGTCATCATCTACCGAAGACGACTTATCAATGTATGTTATTTCCACTCCATTGTCATTCTCTCCTTCTAATCTGAATTTCTTATTTATAACTCTAACTAGGGGGGGGGGAGGGGGAGGTCGGCCAGTTGAGATGGTGACCAATTCGTCGGTTTCTGAACAGTTTCCTTTAATCACATCAATTCCCACAACCAATTTACACATTTTTGCTTGGTTGAAACACGTCGACACTGTATGAGTGTTGCATCATTATACAAATGAACTGAATGCGTGTGCAAAAAAAGATCTTGATCATATATTTCGAGCTTATTTCAAACTTGCAGGCAGCCTACGCATTCGCAATCAGATCTAATTCAAAAAAATTGTTCTAATTTATCTGTCTCACCGTGCTTTCAAATTCGCTTTCTCAAATCAGCTCATTTTCAGAGTTCGCCAATGAAGAAACATCTTTTTTGTTGAATAAAAAAAAACGACTGCAAAGCAGTCCATGCACCAATAATTTTGCACGTTTCTAGCAGTGGCAGTGCAATATCTTTAATTGCTTGACTTTTACTTTTGATCAACTTAGATATCATCAGCACTATCCTTCTACAATTTGCGATGAATAAACGCAGTGAAGTGAACATGATGTAATTTGTGTAATATTTTGATATTGTTGATAAGCATGAAGAGGGATTGAAGGATCAAATGAAATCGCACACAAATCTATCAAAATGTTTGTTTGTTTGTTACGATGTGTGCGAAAGAAAGTGAAATATAGTTCTCCTTCACATAACTGGAACAAAACAAAACAAGCGTTGTGAAAATTAGAGCAGGCGTTCTCGAGTAGCAAGAATAAATTTTGAGAAAAACAACTTCTTACAGCACATTGTTATTTCAATAACACCTCAAAACAGCTCACTTCTCGCCAGCACTTTCATCCGCTCTTATCATTATTACCGTTCGCATATTTTGTTTTTCGATGCCAGATTTTCTTACACGATTTTTTTTCTACGCAATAAAATAACGTATTTCGTTCATCTCTCCATTATCCAACTGTAAAAAACACATTTTCCAGTAAAAATACTATGATGCACTCAGAAACATTGTTTTATGCGTTCAGCTGATGTTACATCATAAACATGTTTCAGATTCTAACAGTGTACTGAGAATTAATAAATACAGACAACTTATGCGATCGTATGATCATCTGTTAGCATTGGTTGAATTTGAGAATCGGATTCGGTTGTACAAACAATGATTGTTAATGCTCTTCGGAAAGCTTGATTAGGCTCGGCAGAGGTTGAGGTTGAGCCGTGATTTTTCTGGTAGTGACGACTTGCGTAGTTTGAAAGGGTAGAGGGATGATGGAGTATGCAGAAAAGGATAAAAATTGAGCAGTTGTTATAGATGAAATTTGACGCACAATAAAATGATCTATAATTATTAGGTGTAGAGGATTTGGTAAAATGGTCTATTATAAATGATAAAAGAAAACAACTTCGCTTTATTTATCGAAATGCACTTATCTTTTGAAGTGAAAATACATTCGGAATAAATCTGAACGGTTATGTTTGTTTAGTAGTAAACTGCGCATGCGAAAGTGCTATTTTTTAGTGAACAATTATTCGATTTGCATTCGAAGTTAACATACAATTGAATTTCAGCTCAGTGAGGTCACTTACTCGTTAAATTCTATTTCTGAAACTCATTTAACGTTAATCAGAAATCAGTCAAATTGTACGCTTGGCGTCAGATCATCAAGTAGTTGTCATAAATGATGAAAAGCGCTTTGTCAACAACGATTTGTGAAGTATTTACCAACAAAACAAGCTCTTACCATAATATCTACAAGTTCCCTTTCTTACTGCCCTTCGCGATCAGCACACAAAGATTGTCAGTTAAATCTTTTATTGTTTACAAACCAATCACATATAAATTTGCATTGAATCTTTGAATATACACAAATAAAAATTCCACCACTTGTGTAGATTTGCTTTGATAGATCTACACATGTGTAGCACTTGTGCAGTTGGTCAAGCAAAATTGAAAAAGTAATGGTTCTGTTCCGTGGTGTGGCCAGAATTTTCTCCAGAAGAGAAGGAGGAGGGTGCAAAATGGTCTGCTCCGAAAAAAGCTGAACTTTAGGGTGGCTTTTTAACGTTTATTTTTTCTTCTATCTCCTTCTCCTCCTTTCTTTTCCTCCCTCTTCTCTCCACATTCTTCTACCTTCTCCCCTCCTTTCCTTCTCTGTCCCTCTTTTTTTCCCCTTTTTTTCCACCCTCAAGGAGGAGGGAACGCGCCCCCTGCGCCCTCCCTCCTGGCTACGCTACTGGTTCCATTGCCAGTTTTTGCGGAACTCAGTCATTTCGACAGCTAGCAGAATCAGAATTGACTTATTTCTGCAGCTGTCCCCACTTTTTCATCTAATATTAACTCGTTTAATATGTGCTACGCAACGGTCTGATCACCTGAATGGTATTCCAGTAATGAAGAGAGCTTTGAGAAGAGACCATCACTGACGTATGTTTAATCGAAAAACAAGTCATTAGTGATTTAGAAAGTGAAGAACTGATAAAATGAGGAAATTCTTTCAAACCACAGTTGTACTTAAGCATCAGTACATATTGAATTTTTTTGCGTGCAA